TCTTTATGTTATCTGGATGGTTCTAGGTGTCAGGGAAATGAGAAATTTGTTTCATTTAGAAAAGGCTAGGAAGCACTTGGGAAAGAATGACCTTCCCCTACGCAGGCAGATCAGAGGAAAAGCCAACTGTAATGAGACATGTGGAAGCAGGACCGACAGCTGGATCACTCCAGACAGCGTCACTTTATCACACCAAAGTACAACAGACAAAACCTAGTACCACAATTACTTACAGACTGCTTGCTCATTTTTTTTAAACCGCCCCCATGTAAAATCTGGATATGCTCAAAAATTCTCCTTCTCTACTATGTGTTTACTCACATCCAAAATAGGCTCTAATTTTTTAAATTCCCTTTTCCCCTAGATCTTCAAAAATTTGGCTTTAATCAAATTTTAACAAAAAGTAAAAATGAAACACTATCATGGAAACTTACTTTTTCCACAATTTGTAAATATACTCATTGTGTATCATGTGAATATTAGTTATAATGCATAAATATTTTCAAAAGTTGGGTATCAGAATAAGCAATGTTGAACTATTCTTTTCTGAGAATAAGACAAATGGTAAGCATTTATTCTCTAGCATTATTTTATTTAAATATGTTTTCGAATTAACATTCAGCTATTTTCTAATTCTAACATCTAGGATGCAACAAATACAGGCTAACGTAGAAAGAAACACTGTCCTCATATTAGCCCTCTTCATCTCAGGAAAAATAAATGATCAGAGTTCAGGAATGTTCTGCATGAAGAAGTATGAAGAAAGAGCATGATGGCTGCAGGTAGTGACAAAAGCACATAAAATAAGGGAAAAGGCACTGGCTTGCTCCTAAAACTCCTGGTTTGGAGACCGTGCGACTTGACACTGGATGGTTGGTCATGAGGCAAGGGTTCAAAGGTGAGGGGAGAGCACATTCAATGTCACACTTGAATTGTGTCATCACCAAACATCTAAGGTAGTTTTCCTCAGTTTGCCTCCTGCAATGTAACTTGCCAATTAAATGAAGTTTTTGCTTGATGGAAAGAACCCTAAAACATGGTTTTTCTCTAAAGGTCAGGGGCAGTCATGCCTCCAGGACAGAGCAAAGCGGCGGCTCGAATGCTCGGCGCACCTTCTTGCTATTCCAGTTAATTGGCCTCATGTCTGTTCACCAAGACATGGCGGTGAAAATGGCAGGCTACCAATTAGATTACATTTCCCCTAAGGTCCCGCTACTTTCTAGTCCTAAATTCTTCCAATCATGTATTGTAAAGTTCCTGCCTCTCCTTTTGTGGAATTTATTAGTTGCAATAAACTGTGGGGATATAAGAACAAAGTCAGCTTATGATCTATCATCTGCCAATATTAAATTACAGTCTATGCAGAGCCATGGAGGTGGTAATGGTTAAAAGCAATCCAGATTTCTTAACACATTGCCAAATATAAAAACTAAGGGTTTTGTTGCTTTTTTTGTCTCTTGGGTCTCAGAGTCAAAATTTCAGAAGTATGAAAACTTTCTCTAGGCAACACAACCACAGCTAAATAGTTTTCCAGTCCTTTTTGCTTCCGCTGAGAAATCACAGAAGGAAGTCACAAGACTGACGTAAGAAAAGGATGCTCTGTGAAAGATGCGCGGTCCTCTGCCCTCTGATATGAACATGAAGTAGGACTCACCCACAGGCTGTGCTGAGCAAGGTAAATTAGTCACTGAAAAGCAAGACCAGGCTTTCTGGAAATCACGTTGAGCTTGACTCCTAGTGCATCTTGGTACAGAGTTCCAACAGGATGCATCGCCCACCTTTGGTTATAGAAGTGAACAGTGGGCAAGGAGATCCAATATCCCCCTATGTAGGATCAATCCCACAAAAAGAGAAAGACACCTGCAGCTTCCAGAGGCCCCGCTGGCCCCACGCTCTCACACACTCTTTTGTCCTTTTCATCCCTACTGTTTATTCCCACTGGCAAAGCTGATATGGCCCTAACTGCCTTCAAAAAACAGAGATAATGAGAGACAAGCCCTGCAGCAGGAAATAGAGCCAAAACAAAAGCACTGGAGGCATACGAAATCTAGAACTCTATGACCTCCTCCGTCCAGACGGCAAACCTGAAGGAAGACGGCCATCAGCGCCACTCCGATGGTCACAAATCATCCAGGCAGAGTGGGGATTTTTTTTAACCATATAAAACATTCTTTTATCTAGGTGATGCCATCCTCTTTATTATATTTTTAATGGCAAAAAACTAAGGACAAAAAAAGCCACTGAAGAGATATCAGGCCATTAAAATCAGATGACTCATGGAGAATAGTTAAAAAGAATAAATCTACAATTAAATGTGAATAGCTGGACTAGATTTCCACTGTATCCAGTATAACCCATTGGTCCTCTTCTGCCCAAATGATTGTGCTTACTTTTAGCCAAAGTTTTAATATGGGTTATCTTTTGTTTTTGCCGTTCTTGCCCTCTTAATAAGATTTCAATCTAGGTAATTATCCTGCTGATGTGAAATCATCAAATTTACTGAACAGATCATCATTTTTTAAACTTAAACCAAGGAAGATGATGTTTTCAGGCTCAGGAATCAATTAGCTAATGTCATCTACATTAGACATCATAGACTAAGAAAGTATTTGTTTCTTAAAAACCTACTTATCATGGAACAAATACTTCCAATAATTTCAACAGAAACAAATCAAAGTTTAGTCTTTGAAAAAAAGAAGTGTTTGTGTGCCTTCTCAGTGCAATCCCTTTTACTCAAAAAGAAACTATTTTATACCAAAATCACAAAGAAAAACTATACTACTTTCTTAAAAACAGATCTACAACTGCAATAGTGAAAGTGATCTTTTTAGAGTATAATTAAATGTATCATATTTTAGAAACTCTGGGCTGCCAATTTCTTCCTCCTAATCTTGCAATAAAAATGGACATCTTTAGCATATTTAGCTAACTGTCTCTCCTTCTTGCTTTCACTGAACCCTGACTGTGTTCAAGGGGATGAGCAATTGTGTGAGCCATACCTCCACCCCCCAGCTCCGGGAGGTCAAGCTCAATTAGTCTATACCAGCGTGGGCAACTTTTATTCCCTCCAATTTGGAAATGGGCAGGCAAATCATGCAATTCTGGACAACAACGCACAAAGGGGCATCTTTTGGAGGGGAGCGGGATGAGCTTGTGGGAAAGGTTTATTTGCTTTCCAAAAGAGAGGCCAAGAAGAAAAAGGCACTGTTCCCCTTGCTCTGTGCAAGAACGTGATGGTCGCAGCTCTGGCAGGAAAGGACAATCCTGAGCACAGAGCCAAGGAGCCTCTGCAGAGCATTCCCAGAAAAGATGGAGATTCCGATCCTCAAAGTGGTCACTGAGCTGCAAACTGAATCCTGAACTTCCCTTCTCCCAGACATTTTGACAAATGAGTAAGGAATATTTCCTTATTACACAATCTAGGTTTTCTCTTATTAGCAGCCAATTTTCTTCTAACAAATATATTAAGACACACGGAGTTTTTCTGGGTACCTGGCATGATTCTCACCCTTTCACAGGAACTACCTCACCCGATAGAGCAACCGGATGAGGCAGGTTCTCTGACTATCCCCACTCGATAAATGAGGAAACTGAATTCTGGACACATTCAGCAACATGCCCAGATCTCACATATGGTAAATAGCTGGTAACCAGCTAGTCTGACTCCAGGCCCAGGCTAAACTATCAATCTTAGAAACATTTATTTCAAAGTGATCTTGAAATAACATCAATTAGTGGGAAATCTGTATTATTTTGAGAAAATTGTGTTTTTCCTAAGTAGAACTTCCAAGGTTCTTTCATTGTTTAAAATTACTTCCATCACACAATGTTTGTATGCTAACATTTACTATATGATAAAAATTAGTCCATTTGTCATATCATCAGTGGTATCAATGGCAAACTGTTCTCTTTTATTGTTTCATACTCAAACACCCCACAGACACAAAATTATTTTGGGAGGTTTACAATATAAAACAGACTCAGATGAATTAAGTAAAACGTTTAGGATTTCTTTATACTGATATCATTAATCTAAATTGAAAAACAGTTATTTCAGTATCTAGGCAACAGAATTATTAATAATTTTAGAAGTTACTGAAACAGATGAACAACGAAACATTCTCCGAGTACTCACCTAGTTTTCCATCCATGTGGACTTTCTTAAGAAAATAACTAAGTGACGAAGTAACCAAATAAGTGGGTTTTTAATATCAAAACTATTAAAACTACAAAGAAAACTCTGTCACTAACAATAAACAATTAAGACTTTTAAAAAACAACACTGGAAGAATTTGTTTTTTGTACATCAAACTTACCAGATAAAATTCTTAGTCTTCAGATGCAACAAAGGCTTCTCTGACAGTGACGGAACAAGGGAGCACACTGTCCTTCCTCCCAAGACAGGAAGCCATGTTTACACGAGTGGTAAACAATTCTAATTTCATGAGTTGTAGGTGGCTACCCTGCAGAGCGAGCTAAGCAACTCTAAAAACATAAACCTAAATAGGTCCTTGACATTTATGAAAGAAGTCCCCAAACCTGACAAAATCATCTAAACTCTGAGACAACACTATAGCATACATTTCTCTCATAAAGTGAAATCAGGTATAACAGAAAATTTTAATTTGCCTCTTCAGACCCTTTAACTTACTTCCTATCAATGAGAAGAGTCCATGGGTGGTCCTGCAAGTCTACCCATAAACTGCATTATTCACTGCCGATATCTGTGCCGCAGCAGCATAAGAGGCTCTAACGTCATGATACTTCAGAATCTACAGCAAATATTCCTAACTGCTTATGAGAAAGCTTTGATCGGGGACCACCCCAGAAATATTCCACATTTATGTTAGACAAACTCGGACACAGGGCCTGGTGGTACTTAACTAAAATGTGTTAGAATAATTTATCTTTAGTCATCATTGTGATAGAGGGAAACATCTTTGGGGTATTGGCTAGGAAGTTATACCAATGACACATGTAGAAGGATTCATTTAGGTTACCTGTTCTTGCTTCTCCAGCCACTTGTCCACCATTGGGTGACTGGCACTCAGAGATGAGCGAGCATTGTCTCTCTGAAATTGGTTAGACCAGTTACTAGTATCCCGTGGGAGGCTTCTGTAGTTTTCATCTTTCTATTCAAAAAGAAACAAAAAGTTGTCTTGTAAAAAACCAGACGTTGCAAATTAATGATGCACCTGGTTTTTCATAAGTAGCAGAAAAATGACTCTACATATTTAAAATATTTTTTTCAAGCCTATACAAAATTGCTGATTGAGGACATTTCACCCAGATCAGACCTAAGAAATGTAGTCCTATGCCTAGGAAAAGACAGTCTCATGACCGGAGCAGGGAAAGTAGCCATAGGCTTACACGCACTATAGACGAAACCATATACACCTTGCACTCCCTCCCGAATCAACCTCCCTGGGCCAAGTATATGCACCAGAAAATGAAACATATTTCTACGCAAGACTTCCACCACCTCTCAGTTACAGCATTTTCTCTTTTCTTCTTCCCAATCTTATAACGTTGTAAGCTATTTTCTATTAATCACCAAAAATGTTTAAAACAAGGAAGACTAATGAATCTACATATTATTTAGATCCTTGTAGTTTTCTGACTTTGCACAAGAGACTTGAGACTCTGGGCTCTTCTGCGACCTACTTCACGAGCTAGTTGTAAGCATTAATTCAAATAGCAAGTAAAGAAAAAAACTAGTCTATCCCAATACATGGTACATAACAGACACATTAATTGTTCACTCTAACACGCTTATGACAAGTGGAATCTTTACACAAACACCTGGTTACTTGATAAATATCTATTTAATATACACCAGAGCAGCCAAATGCTGATGGATAGTTCTTTCAAATAATAACTTATAACAACCTGCTTTGGCTTTTGGGCTGTACGACTTAACTTCAATGTTCTAAAAAGAAATGAGAAGGCTAGGATAAGGTGGGGAAGTCAAATAAATAACTAAATCTAAATATCTCTTACAAGAACAAATTAAAAATGTTAACCTCACTTGGACCCACTTATATCAGTGCCCCACTTTAAGAGAAGTACCAAAATACTCTCCTTAATAATTTTGTTAAGAGTAGTCTGGCTGTAAATATCTTACACACAATTGATACTTATCCTTCATTACTTAAACCAAATGAGCAGTGAACACAAACACAGAAAAGTGTATAGGTTTGCAGAAATCAGGATACTGATTTCTGTTTCTTATGATTTCCATAAAAGAATAAATCTTTGGAATGAATTGATGGTCTTGGACCTATGCCAATATCGTGACATATGAACATTTTTTTAATCTATAAATATTTACCAGTATAAATTTTAGCATGAAACTCTACACATTTTTTTTAGAAATTAAACTACAGAAAATAAACTTTAAAAACTCAACAGTACAATTAAACATTTGCAGCAAATACTTCCTAGCAGAAATCCTCTGTACATTTCTGGTTACTGCAGCTCAAGGAAGCCGCCACGCACCATACCCAATGTGCAAGGGAGATGCCCGTAAGACTGGGATGCTGCTGCGGGGGCAGGGATCAGGGACTGACCTCGCTCACAGGACCACGGCAAGGGTGAAATCAGCAGAGGACACAGACAAAGTCTAAGAAAAGAAGCAAGCAGACGGACAAACTAAAGCTCACTGTGTCTCAAAACGCTAAGAGCCCTCCTCAAAACCTGAGCACGATAACTCCAGAAGAAAGCAAGGCCATCTGTTTCTCACCATAGTCCATAAACTTACTGATGAGTAATTCAAATAAGTTGTAAAGGGGAGAGAAATTTAATAATGACAAAACCTTAAACGTCCACAGAGAAGAAGGATCGGAAGTGTGGAGAAGCACAAGGACAACTGTTATGTTGAGGATCTTGAGGCAACTACCGCTGGCTAGGGACCTGGCTTTTCTATTCATTTTCTACCATTTCTACCATTAGGGGTAATTATTACACTAACTCTTGACTTTGAAAATGAATAATTAAACAAAGTATTTAAAATCTACCTTGTCTTTCAGTAGGAATTGTATTTCAGAGAAACCAACAGTGTCAGTCAATGAGCAGAAGCTCGTCTTTTCAGATGAATGTCAAATAATAGAAGTAGAATAATTAATAGATTTAGAAAAGTCACCATTTTCAGCTCCTAATGAAATAATTCATTCAGGCAAAGATAATCAATGGATGCTAAAATTATTAGGTGAAAGTTGATGGCGAACTGCACGTCTGCAGAGTGACAAAATGCCACTTGCAAAGAGAAAAATCTATCTTTAACACGAAGAGACTAGATGCCACAAAATTCTCACTTCTTGGTGTCTAGAATCCAGTACGCTACTGGTACGTCCTCGTGATTCCTTTCCAATCTCCATTATTCCTCTTCCCTTAATTGGTCCTGGTTGTCTCTCTATGGACTGCTTACTAGTGTCTCCCTGGACACGCTCAGAAAGCAGACAATTTCAAACCCTCCTTCCTGATCCTTCTAGGCACAGGTCCCACCACTAACCTTTTTCCTGAATTCATGATCTAAGTTTCCAAGAGGATGTCCCAAAGTTACCTCAAAGTCAATAGACCAAAGTGAAACTCGCTTCCCCTACCAATTCTGGCAGCCTTCTAAAATGCATTCATGATCCTCTTCGCCCCTTCTCCCCACAGTTGCTAGGTCTTGTTAATCCAATGTGCCTTACCAAGATTTTACACTTCAGCTATCACCCTAGCTCAGAATCAACCTGTCTCTCATCGGAAACTATCACAGTGGCCTTCTAACTACACACTGGCTCAAGCCTTATCCACTCCAACAATGTTCTACGGCCCTTCACACAGCGATTTCTCTAAAGTGTATGTGAGATCACATCACACCTGGGACAGGTGCTGTAGGCCGATCGGAGAAAATCACCGACAACTGTGCTTGCTATGCCACGTGCCTTTCACCTTCACTCACCATCTTTGAGTCTAGACTCGAAATGACATTTCTTCCATAAAAATACCATTCCTCATCAGCCAGTTAAGTGCTATGTTCCCTAATTCTCACTAGAACTAATAACATCATGCTTTTTTTTTAACCACTATATTCTAATTTTACTTCTAATTACAGTTATAACTTGTAATTTAGTTAATTTTTTAACAGTTTTTCTTTTTTTGGTGAAGAAGATTGGCCCTGAGCTAACTAATCTGTTGCCGCTCTTCCTTTTTTTTTTTTTTCTTCCCAAAGCCCCAGTACATAGTTGTATATCCTAGCTGTAGGTCATTCTAGTTCCTCTGTATGGGATGCTGCCTCAGCGTGGCCTGATGAGGGGAACGTAGTCTGTGCCCAGGATCCGAACTGATGAACCCAGGCCATCGAGGCAGAGCATGATAACTTAACCACTTGGCCACGGGGCCAGCCCTTTAGTTAATTTTTTAAATTGCTATTTCCACTCTTACAGTGAAACCTAGGCAGAAGCTCACCATCCACCTTTAAACTGAAGCTCTTAGCTCCGTGGCCTACATCAACATGGATAGCTTTTTCTTGAATATTTGTTATGTTTCCTGTTTTTACATGGTTTTAGAATCCCAAAATTTTAAAAGAACGCTTCCATAAATTGCTTAAAAAATCGACAAAGCAATGCTTTAAAAAGGTGTCAAAAAAACTTCAATGACAATGCATTTTCACTGAAATACAATGACTGTACTTTTAGATTTATACTAAAGGACATGTATCAGCGTTATATGCCTATTTTAATTTAATGTCACACCTACAGTATACAATGTCTGCAGAAAATGTGATGATTTCCAATTGCATCTCAAAAGTAGTGTGACATTTCTCCATTTACATCAATTATGCCACGTAATTCACGCAGCAGGCCCCTACAAACGAAACATATTAAGGTAAATAAGGGCTAAAGATCAAAAGATCTGTCCTTTAAAAGTCTACCCAAAAGATTCTACAACTTTATATTCTTGGAATCAAGTTTCAGTAGTTAATTGACAAGAAAAATAAAACTGATATGAACCCCTCATAAGTTTTCTTAATTCAACATGGCTATGATAAAGTCAATAATGAATTCATATATTAATTTATTTAGTATATATGGAAATTTCAGTTACAGTAACCTTAGTCATTATCAGGTAAGTGAAGGATTTCTGAAATATATTAACAATATTAACATATACATTATTATATTTTATATTATTTTATATATTTAAATATGTAAAATATATATTTTATATATATTTAATATATTTTTATATATTAAGTAAAAAATTTAAATATATACTTTATATACTTATTTTATTTTATTTATATTATTTTATTAATACTATTCAACATATACATTATTTTGTTGACAGCATCACGCAGGTACTACCAGAATTGCAGCCATGTCCTTCCTCACACTCCTGTCTGAAGTTTGGATCCAGTGCACACAGTGATGTGCTCCTCCTACAGACCCGTGATTCTGTATCTATGACGTGAGCGCATCAATAAACGTCGTAACCTGCAATAGATTTTCTAATTCACAGTATATGCTTGGATATTCACTGTTTCCAGCTGAAATGTATAGAGTGCATTTTATTTCCATTTTGGAAATATTTATTTCAGCGTAAACCATTTTAAAAATATGGTAGTCAACTATGTCTATGCAAGACTATCTACATTTTTCATGGATTAAACTATAGTCAACTACAAAAAAAAAAAAAAAATTTATGTTAAATGTATTGGGAAACCTTATTTCATAACCTAAAGAAGAGAAAACCAAACCAAAAAATTTTTTGCCAATTAATATTTTCGTAACAAGCTAGAGCTGTATTTATAATAAATTGGAGAATATGATTTTAAATCTATTTAATTCTATAATCAAATTAATGCCTCCACTCTGTATATTGGTAAACTTCAAAACAAAAACAGAAATATTTTTCTTTAGACTTATAAAAATCTACCAGTAGTACCAATATGCAAAATTCTGATGATTATTACATTTGCTAATAAAAAATAATTGTTACAGGAAAGCAACAACATTATCCAAAAGATTATATAAGAAAAGTACCACAAGGAATTACTCTCCTTTCTTTAATTATGACTATAACCCTCCACTTAGGAGACGGCCCCAAAGTGCCACTCAAGCTTTGTGCGGGCGGGAAACTCTCCCTC